GTGTTTGGCGCCACCTTGTGGCCGGCTCAAGTTCTCATGCTTCTCTCCAGACTTAAGGCCGATAAAGGATTCCAAGCACAGCAAAACCAGTCTCTTCTGGACGTTGGCTTATGACCAGGAGAGACAACACTGACCTTGCCACAGGGTGACATTATAACTGGGCTAGGAACTTCCTACGTCAAAGTGAATGGCCTCATGGTCTTGTGTGTCTCCAATCCACCCTTCCTCAAGTCCCTTCTCCAGGAAGGCCAGGGTCCCGGGGCTCCCTATATCCAGCACCCTCAAAAGTCCTGATTTCCATGAGGACTCCTTGCCTTAAAGGACCACAAGCCTAGACCAACTGGTCAGATACAGAGTATGAAACTTGGAATTCTAGAAAGCCCTTCCTGAGTGGCATCTCCCCAACTCGGGGCTGGTTTCCATCCCAGTCTTGGGGCGCAGGTAAGACTGAAGGCCTTTTCCTTTTCTCTTCCATCTTTCTTTAGCCACATGGCAGCGTAATGGGGCATGTGTGCTGAGCGGATAGAACGGATAGTCAATGTGATTACCATGACCATGTAGTGGGCCGAGAACATAGGCCAGGGCCAGGCACTGACTCCGAGCTCCCTGCAGTAGTCTCCCCTGACATGGAGGATGGCCTTGTGCATTGCTTTATAATGACTCGTTATAATACAGTTTCTCCTTGGGACATTTCACTACCCTGATTAGAAGCACAATGGGAGAAAAGGACCTGGTTGTGCTCCTTTTCACACTTGACACTTTGCTATTGTCTCTGTATCTTACTTTGCAGAGAGTCAAAAAGCAAACAGCAAAGAGAAGAGGCAAAGGAATTCTGAGGTGCAGACTTCGCTGCTGATGGGGATGCTCCATTGTCTATTCAGGCCATAGCCTCCAATCTTTTCAAAGCCTTTATTGGACTACAGTTCCGGTCACATGCTCCTCTCTTCAAAGCCAGCTGACTTCCCAACCCAGATCTATTCTAAGCCCCTGCCCTAACCTGGGCCTCTGCTCCTACCTATCCCACCCCACCCCTGGCCATGCCCTCTGCTTCTCTCTGCCTTAGTCCAGTCAGTCCTGGAATGTGGCAAGGTCTCTGACATCACTCTCCACCCAGTGCCTCAGCTAGAATGTCACATATTTGGAAAAGCCACCCAACCTCCAACCCCAGTAAGGTCCCTGGGTCCCCTTCACTTTCCATGGCCCCTGGTTCTTCATGTCCATGGCATTCTGCACATAGTAACTGTTGGGTGTCAGTTTTTTCTATGAGATGTGATAAATCCAGGGGTGGAGATGCTAGTGAAAGCTTTGTGGCTGGAGAGGAAGCTGGGAGAGAGGGGGCTGCTGAAGCACCCTCCCCCCCTCCCTCCTCAGCAGAGGAAAAGGTGGAGCTGAGCCCCACTTGTGCTACTTGCTGCATTGTTCTCCTCCAATGGAGCGGGAGACCCTGCACCCACCACTCATCTAAGAGTCATGCCTGTGTGGAGCCCCCACCCCCACCTCCAACAGCCACTCTCCATGCAAGGCTGAAGGGAGCAACTTCCCATTCAGAAGAAAATACTTCTTCTGCCTTCTTTCGTTGCCATGGAGACTTCCCTTCATTAACCTGGTCTGCCAGTTATGTCTCCAAGTGGCAAAAGGGGAGAGAGCTGCAAGCCCTGAGAATACTTGCTACACACATGCATGCACGCACACATTCCAGATGCTTGGCAAGGATGTGTGACCCGAAGACAGGAACACCGAGCTCAGAGGCAGAGACCCAGGATCTCGCCTGTCTGAATCTCCAGCTTCGTCATCAGTAATGAGAATAAAAATAGATCTGACTTCCTAGAGCTGCAGTGAGAACTGAGAAGGAAGCATATCGATACACTTAGCTGAGTGTCTGACACGTGGTAAGGACTCAGAAAATATAAGCTATTATTATGAATGCCTTGACACGCCAGGCGCTGCAGCAGGTGCTGAGGAGATGAATGTGGCGAAGTACTATTTGAGAGATCCATTCCCCAGTGTTTCATCTTCATTGAGACATTCCCTCGCTTTGAACTCTGCCTTCATAGAAACCACTCTCTCTTCCTCCATCTGATTCATTGCATGTAGCTTCTGATTGTGATCGCAAATACAAGTGTCATAAGCAGGTTGAGAGTCCTGGTAAACAGTCCCAGGGAGGAGAGGCTGGAGGACAAAGCAACAAGCCCATGTGGCAGGTGGCTTGCAAACCACAGCCTACACCCATTGTTTACCCGGGTGCAATAAAACCCCACAGAGCACATCACACAGTCACAAGCCACTCTCCAAAGAAGACTTATTTGGGATTGCATGTGTGTGTGTTTGTCAGGTTTCTTACTGAGAGTGGCCTTGAACATGATATGCCTTGTGCAAAAATGGCAAACACACATTGGCAAAGACGCATGCCTATAAAAACATAAATATGAGCATAAGCTCTGCCTGCCTTGGGCAGCTCATTCCCTGGGTCTCAGGTTTAGATAACATGTGGTTCGTTCTCTGCCTGATTATTAGAGATTTGATGTGGAAATATTCATCTCTCCAGACACGCTGTACTTGAGTCCCAGTTTCAGCCTATTTTTAGAACAGAGTTTAATAAATCACAAGTTCCCACTTGTAAGATTAGGGAGACCTGTAAGGGGGGTTGGGAAAACTAGGGTGGCTCCAACTTGGGTTTGTTAGCTCTCGGTAGCCAGCAGTTTGTGATAGGACCCAGGAGACTGCTGGCTTCAGAAGTCAGGGGAAAGATCCAGGCTGGGGAAGGAGGTGTAAGGTCTGAGAAGCAGCAATGAAGGAGTCAACCTGGTCCACATAGATGGTGCTCCTGTGTAGACAGCGTTTGGATCCTTCACCCTGTTGCATATTCACAATGAGTGAAATGTGACCAGCCTAAACTCTATACCATAGCCACCTCAAAGAGTTGTATGTCATTGGGGATAAAATGGGTTCATGAAAGTGCTATATACTAACCAATCATCATAGAGGGTTGGGAGGTGAACACAGAGGCTCAGGGAGAGGGTCAAACAATCCAGATACCAGGAGGAGGCCTGAAGAGTCTCTAGGAGTCCTACCCCAAACTTGGGCAAGGATGGGAAGGGAGAGGAGAGATAAGGCTTCTTGGAGAAGCAGGTAAGAGGGCCCCATTGTGCTGGAACAACTGGGCCCCTTGATCTCAATATTGGAGAGGCTGAGCCAGGAATGTGGCCAGTAAGAGCCCATCAAAAAAAAAAAAAAAAAAAAAAAAAAAGGACAGATAGAGAGACAGAGACAGACTGACGGAGAGGTGGGGGAGAGATAGTTCAGTCCTTAAAAGCACTACTGCTCTTGCAGAAGGACCTGAGTCTGATTGTCAGCACCCACATGGGGTGCCTCACAACCACCTCTAACTCCAGCTCCGGAGGGTTTGACTTCCTTTTCTGCCTCACACCCCCACCCGGACCCTGCAAACACTCCCATGCATGAATCCACACAGAGACACATAATTAAAAACAAAAATAAAATCTTAAAAATAAAAAAGCATTGTCCCAGCATAGATATGGACTTCAAGAGCCCATTCCACATAGAGGAATACTCCCTGAGCCTAGACACAAAGGGGTGGGCCTAGGCCCTATACCAAAGGATACAATAGACTCTGATGACACCGTATGGAAGGCCTCACCATCCAGGGCAGCAGAAAGGATATGTGATAGGTAGGGTTTTAGTTGGGGGGGGAGTGGCAGGGGAGGAGGGAGGAGAGGAAACTGGGATTGTCATGTAAAACAATCTTGTTTCTAATTCAAATAAAAAATAAAAATAAATAAAATAAATAAAAAAGCAGAACATCAAAACAACAAAAATAAAAACTGGTACATGGGAGAAATCATAGCAGGCTGTTTGTTGTTGTTGTTGTTGTTGTTGTTGTTGTTGTTGTTGTTGTTGCTGTTGTTGTTGTTTTAAGGTTG